ACCTGCGTACGGCCCGGCGGGGCGGCTGCGCAACCTGCGTAACCCCGTACGGGAATCGCGCGGGCGGCGCGTCGTGAGGGGAAATGGCGGGGCTGAGGCTCCCTCACGGCACCGCCGGGGCGGGGCCGCCGGCGATGGTCCGGACCGGGCCCCCAGGCCATCAGGCAGCGGGGAGCCGGGGCGAGGAGCCCGCGGTGAGGAGCCCGCGTGAGTGCTGCCACGGTGCCAGGTCCCTCAGCAGCGCTGAGCTGAAGCGTGCCTGGGCATCGTACCTGCATCTTCCTCTGTACCTGGTGCCACCTCTCCTGCCCTGGGTTCCTCTTCACGGTGCTCCTTTTCTCAGTTCCTTGTTTCCCAACACGCGTGTGGGTCTGTGTTGAATTTCCATGCTGCCCAAGCAGCGCAGTGCCTGTGGCTGTGGTCCCCCAGCTCCTCTGCCTCACACCAAAGGCTCTCTAATGGCTTGTGTCCAGCAAACCAAACGCTGACTGAAGCTGAGCACCAACCCTAGCGTTATATTCTTTCTTGTAACATCTGTTTTCATTCTCTTGCGTGCCTTCTCCAGGGTGAGTTGCCCTCCCCAGCCCCGAGGCCGTGCTGGGAGCAGAGGCTGTGAGTTATCCAGCCCTTTGCTGTCTGGTCCATCCAGCACAGAGGTACTGTAGTGAGGAAAAAGGGAGGTTTCCCTTTTCAGTGAAAGGGAGTTTTTCTGGCCTTCTTTAGAAATCCCAGGAACATTCACTCGGAGACTTACGACAGAATTTGCAAGAGTTTGACAACTCTGTGCCACAGTGCGTTGGCTGAGGCAGCTGATAATTTTCTTATTCAGTTCTGTGTTGTGAGGGATTGTCATCTCCTCAGAGTCTGACAAAGCAAACAGTAAAGGAGATGGGATAGCAGAAAGCTTTTTTTTTTTGTTGATTTTTTCCCACTATTTAGGGTGCAGGGATTGGTGTTCAGCTAGCAGCCCTTATCATGAATTCATGACTGGCCCTCTGGGCTCATTTGGCTGCCCAACAGGTTCCATTTCTTACTGGTCATTGCCATAAAGGACTTCCTCATTTATTTATTTATTTGTTCTGTTCCTCTGAAGTTGCTCCTCAGAGCACCAAGGAGGCAGAGTTGTCAGGACAGGGGGATGATGGGGGCTAGAATTGCTGGGGGAGGAGAGAATGAGACCTGGCAGTGGATGGTGAACAGTGATCTTGGGCACTGACTGGGTTATAAGCTTAAAGCGTTATAATGTAATAATCTTTAAGAACGGAATGCTAAAAAAAAACACTAAAGGCTCTTCAGCTTTCTCTGTTCTTCAAGGAATTCTTCAAACAGTTCTTTATCCTCAAATAACTTCCTGGTGAAGTGCTTCATGACAGAGTGATCATCTTCTCCTCTCAGACCATGTTCAGCCCTCCAGAGCTGCTCTGTTAATATGTAACCCCCCCCCTTTTCCTTTGCTCAGGTGGTCTTTGGGTTTTGTCAGTAGCTTTTTCATTTGAACAAATTTAATTGTTTCCCCTTCAGTGCTTTTCTGGCTGATATTTGATCTCTGCGATTACGAAACCTCACTGGTTCCACACTCGCACTCCCCGGGGCACAGGCCTGCGAGGCTCTTGCTGTTGCAAAGAGCCCTCCAGTCCAGGCAGGCAGTGTGAGAACAGAGCAAATACCTGCCCAAAAACCCTGCTGCAATCAGGGCTTCACCTGTGGGACTGTGGGTATTTATAGCCTTGTCACAGAACATCATAATTAGACGTGCCCAGGGGGCAGCCGTGACCCAGAGCGTTGGCACCGCTCGGGGACCCCGTTATTAGTCCTGTGTCAGCAGAGGGTTTGGCAGCACACAATCTGACACAGCAACACTTTGGGGAATTCAGCCATGCTTCCATTTAGGGGTGATTAGTTTGTCACCTGATGCTGATGCAGTTGGTGCCCTGAAGACTAAAGCTGTCTTTTTTTACAACAGGTTCAGTTTCCGCATCAACAAAATTGAAGCTGCTCAGGAGGAGCCGCCTCTGTTTGGTCTCCATAAACTGCTGGAGTTCAGCCTCTATGAACAGTTCTGCAGTGGACTCGAATGAAGCTGCAAAAGTAATTGAAAGATTCATTTTACAATCTGCCAGCAAAAATAAAAAGTTTTGAAAAAGACAAGTTCCCTCAGAGAACATGTTCAGCTAAAGAGCTAAACAGCCATTTCTTGGTTGACGTTTATTTTTAAGCCAATGGAGATCTAGATTTGCCTCAAACAGCCAAATTAGAGGTGAAACTGTCAACTGAGAACTGAACTCAAGCTCCTTATTTCCTTCCCTTGAGCCACCTGGTGCCCAATGAATTTTAGTTAGAGGTAACGGAGAGGGACACAGGGCTCTTGGATTCATAGGAGTTGACTCAGGCTGAATAAAAGGTATTAATTCAATACCTGTTTAATTATGGAAATAGCAAGCTGGTTCCTTCTGGGTCATTTCAAAGATGTGACACACTGATTCCAAGAGTTTTCACAGGAATACTTTTATTAAAAGCATGGGAAGGGAAAGGTAAGAGTTGTGGGATTTTTAGAATGGAAGGAGTTAAAACTCAATGTCAACAGTTTCCACTTGTTTCTTTTTCCTGGTTTTATGAAATCCTTTGTATAGGAAATCTTTTTCTTGACGCTGTTTCATGGTTTGAGCTGCTTGTGACTGGGGGTGTTAGGGGGACAATGGTTTTAATCAGTCTTCAGTTATTGGAAATGGAACTTGTTCCCTTCAGCAAAAAAAGAAAAAGGGTGGAAAGACTTTTTCTGCAGGAAGCAGACAAAAGCTGTGTTTCCTTGCTTGTTTGAAGATTAGCTAAGGAGAGTTGCACACATGGCACCTGCCCTCACAGCCACTCGGAGCTGACAGCCCTCTGTGTGTGAGCTTTTGACCTGTGTGTGAGTTTGTGACAGTGGGCTTGGTTTGGGGAAACTGGGATTTGCCAGACCCTCATTAGGCAGGAGGCAGGAGGAAAGGGACTGAGGGTGGGCAAGGGGAGGAAACAGCAGGGAGGGGTGAAAGCCAAAGCTTCCAATTCCCAAGGAGCTCTGAAGACCTGTTTTTCTTACTTTGAGCTCACAAGCTTGAAGTAATTGTCTTTCCCCCTTGTTAAGTTGAATTTACGTATGCAGATGAACTCGTTCCCTCTGACCTACTTTGGCCAGTTAAGCTCTAGGCCTGTGCACAATGCAGGATGGGGAGGAGCTTTTCCAAACCATGAATTCCTTTATTGTTGCTGGGACTGGTCATGCGTATCCATAGTGCCTGGCATGGAATCTTTAGCCAGAGCTGATAAACACTGGGCAGCGCCCAGGGCAGGATTTGCATGGTCCTGTCCAGCACTCCCATCTTATCAGCCTTCTGTCTGCCTTTCCCAGGAGTCCTGGAGTCAGTTATTCCGGTTCTGTGTGTCCAGCTCACTCATCTGTGTGTCATCACACCTTCCCTGCTATCAGACTGCTCCCTCAAATCCCTGCCTTTGATGACAGGCCTCATTTAATCCCAGCTGGACACTCTTTACAGAATCATACATCCATCCATGTCCGTGGAATGGGTGTGTACCTGTCTCATTTCATGGGAACCAACAGGAGAACACATGGGGGTGACTGGTCACTACTGGTGAGGCTTCACTGGGGGACTAGGAGGAAAAAGTGCAAGGTAGGCTTTTTGGATGGATGCAAAAGGCCAGGAAAATTCAGGAAGTTTGTGCTGAGCCATGCAGATGAGCAGAGGAACTCTAATTAAAATACAGACTCTGTGTTGTTCTCAGAAACTGGGCAACATTCCCCGTTCGAGCTCTGCCAGCAGATCTCAGTCCTGGACTTCAGCACCCACTGCTGCTCTGCTCCATGAGACACCCACTCAGCTTGGCCAGCACAGCTCAGTCTCGGTCTGTAACACCTCGTGCTGTTCCAATTCTGGGCCTTTTTGAGCAGAAAATGCCATCTCTCTACTAAATTGTGCCAAATTGCCTGGTTTTGGCTGCAGAACTCATTTTTCACTTGTCACCTAACGGGATACCTGGAGAATTCCATCTTGTGCTGTCAGCAACAGAGGAAAAAGCATGTGAATGCCCAGCCCCCTGCTAAGCCCCTAATTATATAGTGATGTGTTAATAACAAACACTCTTTCATGTCTTGGCAGTCGCAGTCCTCTCCTCGGTAGTGCAGCACTTCAGAAGTAGAATCACACGGGAAAGATGCAAATCCCAGTTTAAAATAATTGGTATCAGCATGGTCTGTTCCCAGAATGAGAGTTGGGAAGAGTCTGAAGCTGTCAGATGCCAGTTGTGTGGATGTTCTGCAGAATCTGAACCATGCTGGACAGATTTGCTTTGCAGAAGTGAGTGTTGCTGCACGGGGAATCTCTTTCCCTCTCTCCCTGGTTGTGAATCTTCCTTCCTCAGAGGCCTTGCCCCCTCCCAGTTTTTGAGAGCTCAGCAGTGAGGGTTGGAATGGTTTCCATCTTGGCTGAGACACCGGGGCTGGAGCTGGCAACATCCACATCCAAACTGACGTGTTTCTTTCAGCTGGAGCCAAATTGCTGGAATTTGCAGTGCTGGTGGCTCACACCCTGTGGTGATCAGCCTGGCTTCCAGAAAATACACGGGAACTGGAGCGGGTGTGACCCCCCACCTGTGCTGGTGAACACCCAAGCAATTAGAGGTGATGGCACTGACTGCTGAGCTCCGGAGCAGTCGCCTTGTTTCTGGAGCAAATGGTTCAGATCGATAGAGATGGAACAACTAAAAACCTTGTGGGGAGAAGACAGGTCAGGAAATTATGCTCAGGAAGTGAGAAAAACCTCGGTCTGAAGGTGTTGTGATTGCAATTCCATTCTGGCCCCTGTGAGACTCCAACTGCAACACTCTCAGGTGCTGAGAGCTGCAGAACAACAGGGCAGGTAAACCCCTGTTTATCTGTCAGGTGTGGCCCTCTCAACAGTCGTGTGAGTGATTAGGTGTGTTACAGGTGTTGTGCTGCTCAGAAAAAAGAATGGGTATATATGAGCAGAGCAATGCTTTCAGTGTTTTCATGTGTTCTCAGCTTGGCAAGAGAGAAGATGACTGACAGATGCTCAATCTTATCTTTGGGAAGGAACTCTGAAACCAAAACTCTCAAATTATTCTTTAGTCTCCTAAATCATTGCAATTTGCATTCCCATTGCTGAGTGTTATGCAGATTGTATCTCTTCATGCACACTTTGGATTCTGCATTATAGATGTTATAATTTATATTCACATCATTGCAGCACTAACAGCAGTGCTGGTGTCGTTGGTTGTGAATGTGCCTTGAAATGTTTGGTTTCTGTTGAGTGTGACCTCACTCCTGTGGTACAAAGGGTGTTGCTAAAACCTCACCGTGTACCTCTAACTCACAAACCCCACCAGCAAAATTACATGCCAGAAGTGCAACCCTGATTTCTGTTACCACTCCAGAAAACTGAAAGATCTCTGAGAAGCCTTTGATTTACAGCCCTTCAGGCTGTGGTTGAAGCCCTTGGTGTGGCAGAGGACTGTGGAGAGCCCAGAGTAGAGAAGCTGAAGTGTTGGCTGTGCTGTAGGTCTGTCTCCTTGCAGTGCTGGGGGGGACTGCTGAGAGTACTTTACAGGGGACTGGAGAGCCTCAAGTCAGATTTCTGTGAGCAGGAGGGAGGGAAAAGGCTTTATCTGTGGCTGAGAGCCCCCCAGTTTGACCAGCAAAAATACAGTCGTGCTCTCAGCATTGTATGGAAACAGCCTGTTTGTGTTTCCCGTTCAGTGAGTGTCACGTGCCTGTCTGGAACAGTCAGTGTGGGGCTCGGGCACAGGCTTTGTCTCTGTGGGGAGCGGGTCTTGTGCTCAGCTGCCCTTCTGCCATTGCAGTCCCCCACAGCTGTGGAGGATGGCCCAGGGTGGGGACACCAGGAGGTGATGGTGACATCAGGTACACACTGCTCACCCTGGTAGGTCCTGCCTTACAGGAAGTCACACACTGCAGAGCAGCCCCAGGGCCTCCCCTGCTCCACCCTCCTGAGCCCTGCCTGTTCCTCAGCACCTGCCAGCCAGGTGAGCCCAGGCTGTGCTCCAGCTCCAGGAACTCCAGGCTGTGGCAGTCTGGACTGTTCTGCTCTCCCAGGGGTGGCTGATCTGCTGACTGATAGGATGTGCCTTATGCAATATTGTGAGCTGAGCATATTTTAACATGCTAACTGAACCCTGAATCAGATTTTGCAATGAGTGTGTGTATTGGTCTTCAGAGAGGCAGTTGCTTCAGAATTTCACCTCTGGGACTGCCAAACCTATTTGTGTGTTTCATAGTTCACTCTGTAAAGCACTCACATACATCCCTGTGTTGTGTGTTAACAGGCACAGCTCATAAATAGCGGTGCCTGGCAAAGCTGTCAGCTCTAGATCTGTCCACAGAGGTCTGAGCCACAGAATTTGCTGTGACAGAGTCGTCTCTGGTATTTTCCTTCTGTGTGAGTGACAGGAAGCACAGGACATGGAGTGTTTGGTGTAAAATGAAACCAGGGTTGGAATTGTGGCTGCACATGGAACCAGATTTGTTTGAATTGGTAGAAGAGATCTCTAACCTCTTTCACAAAGAGACAATGATCAGAGAAGTAGAAACATGGCTGAGAAAAGTGATGCACAGTCAGAACACCCAGAAAATATTTTCTAAAATAAAGAGGAGGTGAAGAAGCAAGAGAGTGTTGAAACTGGTTGCATGAGGAAGGGCTTGAAAAAGATTTCAAAGAAAGTATCTTATAATCTGGAAACAAAACTATATACACGGGAAACCACAGAAATCCAGAACACAACCTGTCCTTTTATAAGTATTGTTTCAGGTCTGCTTTTGCTTTAGTGACTGCCTAGATATTGCTGAGGCTTTGTGAGTGTGAAATTCCTTTTTCCTTTGTAGTTTTGTGGCACCTGTAAGTCTTGTGAGGATGTGTTGCCTCTAGGCTGGACAACGTGCATGACAAGAAAAGGTCACTAACCAAAAGAGATCAAAGTGAAAACCAGGTGGGTTCCCAGGGAAACTGCTGGGTGACCAACCAGCTCAGGCTCCAGAGACTTCCTTTTGCAAGTCTGCA